AGCCCAGGCAAGAAGAGTGAAACTCCATCTCAAAACAAAACAAAACAAAACAAAACAAAACAAAACAAAACAAAACAAAAGAACACATTTATTACAACAGCCACAGAGAATGCTAGCTGGTTTCCAGAGTGTCAACTCCAAACTTAGTGATTTTCACAGTATACACACTAGCTCAGTGGTAGAGGAGGTGGTGGAGCATCTGCTGTGGGCATGGTTCATTAGCTCCACAGTATTCCATCCATTAATACTTGTCAGTTAGAAGGGATATTATAACTCATTGACTGTATCTCATCCAATGTATCAACTTCCCCTTCAACATTATATTCACATGATTGTCAGGTCTCTGCTTAAACAACTTAGACAAGTCCCCCCACTCTGCTTCAAACAAGTCCTCCCACTGGCAGAGATTTCGCTACTTTTCAAGGTGTGGGATCTATACTTAGAGAGCTTGACTAATCAGACATTTTTCCCCTGATATTTAACGTCAATCTGCCCTCTTATAGTTTTCATGCATGGGCTCTGGTTATATACCCTGGAGCATCAAAGAATATGTCTATTCCCACTTCCTCAGGATAGTTGATGAACTTTACCTTCACCCAAATCATAATGTGAACTCAAGAAATTCACAATCAACTAAAACCGTTAAGATTTTGTTCATGATTACTATTGTTAAACCACATCTACCCCCATATGTTTTGGCAAAATTAGCTTTTTGGACCCAACTATATTCTACCCCTATGAAACTAGACCATGTTAGACTTGGTACATTGTTCCAGTTTGTAAAGATTCTCTTTGATCCTGGCTCAGTCATTTATGTATCATCCTAGTTTCATGTATGCGCCTAAACCAGCATGCCATGATGTCAATATCAAACTCTTTAATAAAAACTTTGAATGGAATTAGGCCAAGGAGAGCCTAGCAATATAGCATTAGAAACCTTTTCCCATGAATTACAAAATTCCTAAGCACAATATCACTTTTGTATCCATAAGGATGTCATGAGAATCTTTACCAAATGTCTTGCTAAAAATCCAAATAATACCATATCAATGTCATACTCTTTATCCATTTATGCAGTTCATACTTGAAAGTGCTATTTGAATTTGCTCATATATAAAGTTGTTTTATAAAATTTAAGTCCCTTTATACTTATTCAAGGAATCCAGCGGCCTAATGAGCTTGTCAGAAAAAGAAAATGAGTGAATAAATTCTCAGAAGTTCACTTTTTATTATAGAATTAAAATATCTGTTAGTTTTCTTGAAGTAGAAAAAAGGGTAATATTTTTCAGTGATATTTATGACTGTAAAAGGGCTACACAAGGCTCATAGAAAAAAGCCCCATTAACCCTGAAGCATTTGGTAGAAAATAAGCTAATATCCTGAGTATAATGAAGGTGAGTGTTTGAGAGGTTCAACAATTCCAGTCTTCGCTGCAACACTGTCCCCAGTCAGCCAAACCACAATGAGATACCACCTCATGCCAGTCAGAATGGTGATTATTAAAAAGTCAAGAAACAACAGATGCTGGTGAGGCTGTGGAGAAATAGGAACACGTTAACACTATGGGTAAGAATGTGAATTAGTTCAACCATTGTGGAAGACAGCGTGGTGATTCCTCAAGGATCTAGAGCCAGAAATACCATTTGACCCAGCAATCACATTACTGGGTAATTATATACCCAAAGGAATATAAATCATTCTACTATAAAGATGCATGCACACATATGTTTACTGCAGCACTATTTACAATAGCGAAGACATGGAACCAACCCAAATGCCCATCAATGATAGAGTGGATAAAGATAATGTAGTATGTATACACCACGGAATACTATGCAGCCATAAAAAGGAACAAGATCATGTCCTTTGCAGGGACATGGATGAAGCTGGAAGACATCATCATCAGCAAACTAACACAGGAACAGAAAACCAAACATTTTATGTTCTCACTCATAAGTGGGAGTTGAACAATGAGAACACATGGACATGGAAATGGGAACAACACACACCAGGGCCAGTCAAGGATTGGGGAGTAAGGAGAGGGAGAACATTAGGACAAATAGCTAATGCATGTGAGACTTAAAACCCAGATGATGGGTTGATGGGTGCAGCAAACCACCACGGCACATGTATGCCTATGAAACAAACCTACACGTTCTGCACTTGTATCCCAGAACTTAAAGTAAAATTTTAGAAAACAGTTTAGTACACTTTTGCCAATACAATTTTAAAGACAATATTTTCTTTTTTTTTTTTTTGTCAAAACTGTGAATCTGTGGATTTAGCTCATTTAATGTATGGAAAATGTCTGCTGTATAATTAGCATTGTCAAATCAATTAGCCAAATCAGGCTGGCTTTTTATCATAAAATCTGACTTCATTTTTCCATTGAAATAATTTCATTAACAAACATTTCAAAAATGATTACAGAAAGCACTGGGAAAGAACTTATAAATGCATTTAAAAAATAGATTACTAAAACCAATCAAGTTAAGATTAAATACTATAGATACACTTTATTCACTTTTATAGTAAGTTATAAAAAAAGAATAAGCTTATATAACATTTCTCATTACTTAAATTATAATAATGCAATGCAATATAAAATATAAATTATAAAGGCAGGGGTGTGATTAAAAATATGGTATTTCTTTGGTAAATATGGGTGTCAGGTGATCGTTGGCCCTTGTTATAAAGTGAGAATCATAGTGACCACCTCAGAAACACTCCATGAATGTCATATGCATCATGATGAAAATATGCATATGCACTTACTGAAAAAGAAAAGTATATGAAGGCAAAAAACCCCTATTTGATACAGCACAGGAAATAAATTTTGTTAACAGTAGATGGAAAATATAACACAATGTATGAAATGAAATAAGATGAAGGTTGAATGTAAGGGGGATATATAGTTGATAATATAATTAGATAAATATATTTTAACTAACTTCATATTCACGTAACACATGAATTTTAAAGAAATCACATAACATTTTAGTCCTTCAGGTCTTATCCAGTGTGTTTTCAAGAACCTGGTGGTCTGGTTACATTTAAAATACTTAGTGTCACTAACCAGTACTGCTCTACTGTTTGAAGGTGCTTTGATTTCTAGCTAATGAAATCTGGTAGAAATGAGTATTATGAATAGCTGAAAAACATTGCTTGCATTTTAAGGCATGAAAGAAGCTTTATTTAGTGATTAATATTTCTTGCTGATCTTCTCTGTTTTGCATTCATTAAACACTCCATTAAGAGCAAATAATTTTTTGACACTAGTCAGGGTACAGAAGAGACAAGCCCATTAAAAGAAAGTCCTCATTAACTCCACTGCCCACACTGTACAATATATCTGATTCCATGACATTTCAATAGCTGCTTTTTCTAGCACCACTCTTCACTCTTCACAGAAATAAAGACAAAGATGGAGCCCTACAATGTGCTATAGATGCTTTAATTAATTATTATAAGAGGTGCCTTATATCCTGCTTATAATTATTTTTGCATTGGCTCTTTGGCATTCTTGCAGGTTTTTATACCCGGGCAAAGCACAATGGTAGGATTCCAGAGGGGTGAGAGCTTGTCTTTCTCTTGCAAAGTGAGTGAAGGAAGATTTTGAAATGGGGGTGAGGAAAGGCAAATCTTCATGATGTTAGGAAAGAATATATATGAAGACCTGGATCTGTAATTGGATTCTGATTCCTTTAAAACCATCAGCACCCTCAAATCCATGAAAGTCTGGGCTCTCTCCAGAGGTACTGAGTACTGCACCCTGGCTGGAAGACCACTGCTTTGCCTACAGTGGAAACAGTAGAAATGGAACAAAGTGGCAGACTAAACATAGAGTTTGTGGATGGAATCCACAGGACCTGGCAACAGATTGAATTGGGGTAGGTAAGAGAGCGGGAAATGTCAAGGATGATGCCAGCGATTTTTGGTTTAAGCAAGCAGAACTGCTATTTGCTGAGATGAAGAACACTGGATGTGAAGGTGGCTTTGGCGGCCCTTCATAGTCTGTCTTTTTTGTTGATCTTATTTTGTTTTAGACAGTCTATTGACTGATATTTTATTAAGTTACGACTCTCAACTTTTTGGCCAATTTTATTCAAATGCAAATGATTATTGGCATAAAAAACATTATTTCCAAAAGGATTTTCCTTTTAAAAGTGACATATTTCCTTACCCACCCCAACACCTAAACCCTCTTACCAAACAGCTTCTCAAAGATTCAAATTCATACATAGATTTTATTGTAATATGTGGAATGGTTACACTTTCAAACTTATTAAATATTATAATAAAAATGGGAAGCTGATTTTTAAAATATTAATCACAGCCTTAGATATAATAGGCCCCAACAAATCTCTACACTGTTTTTTATTCCTGTGGATCCCACCAAGAAATATGAAGTCACCCAGGTGTTTTTTGTGCCTAGCTCAGTGCCTGACACATAGTAAGCGCTCAATAAATATTGTAGCTGTTGAGTGAGTGAAATATAGAACATTAACTTATTAAATTTTTATAAGACGTTTAAAAAGAAATGGGGTATTTTTATATGTAATTATTTTTATCTTAGAATACCTCTTAGACCTGTTTTATTGCATATATACGATCCTTCACTAGTAAGTGAGGCTTTTTAATGAAAGTTCACGCCCACGAGTTGTGAAAATCTTAAGTGTGAGTCACCTCTTTCAGAGGTCTCAGAGCCACCTGTTCTGTAAAGGCACACGTTTCTCCCGCCTTTAGGCCATACTCAGGTAGGTATGCAGGTCAGACTAGAGTCTTTAACTTGGGCACCATATCTGATCTGCCTTCAGCGCACACTTCTGGGCCACTCTCTGCACTCTCAACAACCCCCTTGCCCCCAGCACCGTCGGTTTCACGTTGGGAGCCGCCGCGTAACCGCGGTGGAATCTCGCAAGAGCCGGGGCGCCCCCTCACCTGCCCGGCACCCAGGATCCGTTGCGCCGCGTTCCGGACCCCACCCCCATTCTGGCCTCTTCGCCAGGGCTCAGGCGGGGCGCTCGGTCAGGCGGTTACGACCAGGAGGCGTCGGAACCTGGCGTCGTAGGGCTGTGCTGCGCGGTCGGTCCTATTCACCCTCGCCTGGCGCTCTCCGGCGTGGGCGGGCCGGACCTCCGCCGCTTCCAGGAAGGGCCGTGGGCCGTGGGACCCCAGCGAGGCGGGTAAGGTCGTCCGCGTCTTCCTGCCGGCGGTCGGCGGCGGCTCGGCGGGCGGGCGGCGCGTGGGGCCGCCGGTGTGGTACTGCGAGGGCTGCGTGGGCGCGGAGGGCCTGGGCGCTCCCCAGCTGCTGTGGGAGCGCCTCCGAGTCCCCGCGCGGAACCCTCACCAGGCAGATGCTGGCCCATCCACCCAGCGCCCGGCGCCGGCCACGCAGGGGGTCCTGACCGCAGGAGCTCTCAACGCGAGGGTCTTCTGAGTTGCTCTTAACGCGAGGGTCTCCTTCGTTGCTCTCCCTCAGGCGGGCCGCGTTCTCTTCTATTCCTGTATTTCTGAGGTTTTTTTTTTTCTTTTCCGTTTATAAACGAATAATGAGCTCGTTGAAAAACCTTGCCATCACTGTATAATGTGTATATATACACACTCAACACAAATATATACGGATGATTATAAGTGATTTTTTATGTAGAGATATAACTTTTCTAAGAAGTTGATGAATTACATTAAGGACACTAATGGATATTTTACTTGCATTTGTGGGATAGACTAGGCTAGGAAATATGTGTACATATACAGTCATGTGCCTCATAACAGCGGTAGTCCTGTAAGATTATAATGGAGTTGAAAAATTCCTGTTGCCTAGTGATGTCATAGTCAAGGCATTATGTGTTTGTGGTGATGCTGTTGTAAACTGTGCTGCCAGTCATAAAAGTTAGCACATACAATTACGTACAGTATATAGTACTTGATAATAATAGATGAGTATGTTACTTGCTTATGTATTTACTATACCATACTTTTTTTTTTTTTTTTTTGAGATGGAGTCTCGCTCTGTCACCCAGGCTGGAGTGCAGTGTGGCAGGATCTGGGCTCACTGCAAACTCCGCCTCTCGGTTTCAGGCCATTCTCCTGCCTCAGCCTCCAGAGTGGCTGGGACTACAGGCGTCCGCCACGACGCCCGGTTAATTTTTTGTAGTTTTAGTAGAGACGGGGTTTCACCGTGTTAGCCGGGATGATCTCGGTCTCCTGACCTCGTGACCTGCCTGCTTTGGCCTCCCAAAGTGCTGGATTGCATATTCCAGAAGAAGGCATTGTTATCATAGGAGATGACAGTTCCAGGTGTTATTACCCCAGAGACCTAGTGGGACAAGATGCAGAGTTGAAAGACAGTGATATTGGTGATACTGATCCTGTCTAGGCCTAGGCTAATGTGTGTGTTTGTATCTTAGTTTATAATTAAAAAGTTTAAAAAGTAAAATAAAATTTTAAAATAGAACAATGCCTATACTAGTAGAATAAGGATATAAAGAAAAGAAATATTTCTGTACAGCTGTACAGTAATACTTAGCTGTACAATAAGCTAAGTATTATTACAAAAGAGTAAGAAATAACGTTTATAAAGTAAAAATGTTACAAGAAGTTATGATTTATTATTAAAAAATATTTTTGCATTTAAATGTTTTTATTTGTACCAAATTATGAGGTACATGAGAAATGTTGGTACATGTATCTAATGTGTAGTGACCAAATTACCGTACTTAGGTTGTCCATGACCTGAGTACAATATATTTGTATTAAGTATAGTCATTTTACTCCACTATCAAACACTGAATTTATTCCTTATATCTTACTGAGTCTTTGTATCCTTAAGCCCACTTCCGTTCATCCTCCCCCTTCTTGCCATTCATTCTTCTTAGTCTCTGTTATCTATTTTTCCACTCTCTACCTTCATATATTATTCAAATTTTAAACTTAAATTTTATTCAAATTTTGTAGCTCCCACATATAAATGAGAACATGGCATTTGTCTTTTTGTGTCTGACTTAATTCACTTAATAACTTCCAGTTCCATCTATGTTACTGCAAATGATATGATTTCATTCTTTTTTATGGCTGAATAGTATTTCATTTTGTATATATGTACCACATTTTTTATCCATTCATCCATCAATGGACACTTAGGTTAATTCTGTATCTTTGTTTTTGTGAATACTGCTGCAATAAATGTGTGAATGCAGGTATTCCTTTTATATATTAATTTCTTTTACTTTGGGTAGATACTCAGTAGTGAATTGCTGAATTGAATGGTAATTGTATTTTTAGTTTTTTGAGAACTCTCCCTACTGCTTTCCACAGTGGCTGTACATACCCAGTAACAGTGTATAAGAGTTCCCTTTTCTCCACATCCTTACCAACATCTGTTATTTTTTGACTTTGACTTTTTATTAATAGCCATTCTGACTGGGATAGGATGGTATCTCGTTCTGGTTTTTGATTTGCATTTCTCTGATTAGTGGTGTTGAGCATTTTTTTCATATACCTATTGGCTGGTTACATGTCTTATTTTGAGAAATGTCTATGCATGTCCTTTGCATACTTTTTAATGGGATTGTTTGTGCTTTTCCTGTTGAATTGTTTCAGTTCCTTGTATATTATGGATCTTAGTTCCCTGTCAAATGAATAGTTTGCAATTTTTTTCTCGCATTCAACAGGCTGTTTTTTCAGTCTGTTGATTATTTGTTTTGCTGTGTAGAAACTTTCTAGTTTAAGTCCCATTTATCTATTTTTATTTTTATTGCCTGTGCTTTTGAGATCTTAGTCACAAATTATTTGCTTAGACCAATGCTCAGGAGAGTTTTCCCTAGTTTTGGATCTTACATTTAAGTCCTTAATCCATTTTGAGATGATATTTGTATGTAATAAGAGATAGTGGTCCACTTTCATTCTTCTGCATGTGGCTGTCCAGTTTTCCAGGCATCATTTATTGAAAAGGGTATGCTTTTTCCAGTGTAGGTTCTTGTCAGTTTTGTTGAAAGTCAGTTGGCTATAAATATGTGGCTTTAATTCTTGGTTCTTTATTTGGTACAATTGGTCTGTGTGTCTCTTTTTATACCAATGCCATACAGTTTGGGTTATTATAGCTTTGCAGTATATTTTGGAGTCAGGTAATGTGATGCCTCCAGCTTTGTTCTTTTTACTCAGGATTTCTTTGACTGTTCAGGCTCTTTTTTGATTCCATATGAATTTGGGGGATTTTTTTTTTCTAATTCTGTTAAGAATAATATTGGTATTTTGATGAGAATTGCATTGAATCTGTAAATTGCTTTTGGCAATATGGTCATTTAAATGATATTAATTCTTCCTATCCATCAGCATGGGATGCTTTTTCATTAGTTTGTGTCATATTCAATTTCTTTCGTTAGTGTTTTATAGTTTTTTATGTAGAGATCTTTTACCTCTTTGGTTAAATTTATTTTTAGGTATTTTTCTTTTGTGGCTATTGAAAATTAGATTGCCATCTTGATTTACTTCTTGGCTAGGTCATTATTAGTGTATAGAAATGCTACTGATTTTTGTACATTGATTTTGTATCCTGCAACTTTACTGAATTCATCTATAAAATCTAAGCATTGTTTGGTGGAGTTTTTAGGTATTTCTAGATATAAAATCATATGATCAACAGAGAGGGACCATTTGATTTTCTTTTTTACCAATTTGGATGCCTTTTATATCTTGCTCTGGCCTGAATGTTCTAGCTAGGACTTCCAGTATGAGGTTGAATGAGAGTGGTGAAAGGGGACATCCTTATCTTGTTTCAGTTGTTATAGGAAAGGTTTTCAACTTTAATCCATTCAGTATGATGTTAGCTATGGGTCTATCCTATGTGGCCTTTGTTACTTTGAGGTATGTTCCTTTTATGCCTGGTTTGTTGAGAGTTTTTATCATGAAACGATGAATTTTGTCAAATGCTTGTTCTGCATTTATTGAGATTATCAAATGACTTTTATCCTTCATTCTGTTGATGTGATGTATCATGTTTATTGATTTGCGTATATTAAACCATCCTTGCTCTCCTGACATAAATCCCACTTGATCATGGTGTATTTTTTTTTTTTTTTTGATGTGCTGTTGGATTTGGTTTCCTAGTATTTTGCTGAGGAGTTTTGCATCTGTGTTCATCAGGGATATTGACCTCTTGTTTTCTTTTTTGTTGTTGTTGTGTTCTTGTGTATTACAGATACCACTAACATTGTTTACAGCCAAAGAAATCATGCGGAGACTACACTAATACCCACACGCAGACTCAAAGCCAAAGTACCGTACCAGCCAGTACCATAGATACATCTTCAGGAAAAAGTCCTTCCCTATGAAAGTAAATTCAAAAATAGGAAGAAGTGACTGTTATACCAGATGCACAGATATTAGCATAAAAACATAAAAAACATGCAAAAGCAAGGACATATGACACCTCTGAAGGAACCCTCCATCAGTAGATCTTAATAAAAAAATTGTCAAAATCTCAGACATGGAACTCAATATTGATTTTAAAGAATCTCAGTGATATACAAGAGGATTGTTAAAAAAATACAAATAAATCAGAAGAATAATTTAGGGCATGAATGAGAAATTTCCTAGAGAGATAAGATTCTTTTGAAAAGAAACAAATAAAAATTCTGGAACTGAAGAATTTACTGAAGGAAATACAAAATACATTTGAAAGCTTCAACAACTGATTAAATCAGGTAGAAAAAAGAATCTCAGAACTTAAAGATAAGTGTTTTGAAATAATTCAGTCAGAAAAAATAAAGAAGTATAAAAAAGAATAAGCAAAACCTTCATAACGTTTGGGACAACATAAAGTGACAAAAGTTATGAATTATTGATATCCCCAAGGGCAAAGAGAGAAAGGATTAGAAAACCTGTTTTGCAAAATACTAGATAAAAATTTTCCAAGTCTAGCAAGAGATTTAGACATTCAGACACTAGAGGCTCTGTGATCCTCAGGCAGGAACAATGTGGAAAGATCCCTATGGCACATTCTGATCAGACCGTTTAAAGTCAAAGATAAAGAAAGAATCTTAAAAACACCAGGAGAAAAGAGCCTTGTCACCTATAAAGGAAACCCCATCAGATTACTATAAATTTCTCTGCAGAAACCTTACAGGCTAGAAAAGAATGAATGATATATTCAAAGTGCTAAAAGAAAAAATAATGCCAACAGAGA